TGCACTAACTGTCCCAGTGTTCACTTAGTGTTTAGTTTTTACACTACACTAGTGTCCCCACACTTCCGCAATTGGATTTCACTCTGCAGTCCTTTATATCCCACTTCTTGGCACCAATGTCGCGGCTTTGGGTTGCCTGCTGACAAAATTCTTGGGTTCGTTGTTCGTTTCGTTTATTCCAAAAATCAAAGTCCAATTAACACAGCAATAATTTATTCCACTTAACAAAACACTCTGACACTAATTACTTTATTAACAAACTCAACAATTCAACTCTTTACAATCACTATTTAAATCGTATCACACTCGAACTGAAACTAAACTACAAACCAATGCCGGCCTTCTTATATATCCCTAAATCTATTCCTGTAAAATCTAGAATACACGATAATATTATTTTCCCGAATTAAGTAGAATAATTCACTAGATTCTAGTATACTCAAGAGATAATACCGAGAGATTCTTGACAGCCTGGCGGACGTTTAGCTTATTGTGACAATATGTATCGGTAAAATCTCACCAATTGTTAGTATTAAGTTACAGAGTGGTTGTATGAGCAGCTCAACTTGGATACCGCCACCCCTCGAATATTATTGTAAATGTTATGTTAGTTATTCTAAATAACGGCATTTATTATTGATATTATTATCATTATTATTATTATTATTTGCAAGGAATTTAGAGGAATTTGTGGGGTATTTGGAGAAACTTGTGGTGGGTTATTTGGAGGAATTTGTGGGGAATTTGTAGGAATTTGCAGGAATTTTACTTATCACATACGTCAGGTAGGTATTGTCACGCCGCCAGTGTGTCAAGAATCCTAAGGCTGTCGAATACGCTAGAAATTAGATTCCTATAATAATCTGGTAAATTCTACTCAATCGGGAAAAGAAAAGTTATCGTGTGTATTCTAGATTGTACAGGAATAGATTTAGGAATATATAAAGGCCGCTATTGTTTTGTAGTTTAAGTTTCAGTTCGACTGTGATACGATTTAAATAGTGATTGTAAAGAGTTTAATTGTTGAGTTAGTAAAGTAATTAGTGTCAGAGTGTATTGTTAAGTGGAATAAATTATTGCTGTGTTAATTGGACTTTGCTTTTTGAAATAAACGAAACGAACCCAAGATTTCTGTCAGGCAATCCAAAGCCGTGACAGTATTATGTATTGATATAACTATGTAGATATATAAGTATGTACAGAGTGATTCAGTATAGAGTGAACACCGCCTACCTTTTCGCTAAAAAACTGATTTTCGAAAAAATCAAAATAGCCATTTGGTGTATTTTGTTTCTAGGAATTTCGAAACGTTTTTCATAACCCAATTATGATTTTTTGAACTTAGGTGATTTTCGACCGACTTTTTTTTCAGGTATATTAAACGATTTAAAAAAAATTAGAAGGTCAGTGCAATTAAAAATGTTTTTTTGTATAATATTATTTTTTTTAGGCGACTGTCACAAAAAGATTAGTTTTACGGATTCAATATCAAAAAATTCTCTAAATTATATACACAATGAATAGGTGAGAGGGTTGCAGGTTGCAGCCAAATTTTAAAATCTTTTTAAGTTCTCTTGGGCATTGAACCGATACTCTTTTTAGTCTTTACTTTTGTATGGGAAATAAAACTAATTCAACCACAACTTTCCATATGTATTATTTTCTCATATCTCGAATCTTAATCCCACCTACATAGTGTAATTCCAAGATCTAACTATGAATCTAAAAAAACGTTTTTTTTTTTAGGTTTATGATAAATGAATATCTAGAAGATGGCATTAAAAATGAAGAGGAAGTATCAGATATTGAATTAATGGATCTAAATACAAGAATATTTATAAAGGAAGAAGAACATTTGAGTGACATCAATTTATCAAAAGATGGAAAAAACGATTTGAAGGCCCACATCATATTAACACACTTGGATGAAAAGAATTTTCAATGCAACATATGCAATGTAAAATTTAAACGGAAAGACGTTTTAAAGAGTCACAAATTAACACATTCTGATATTTATCCTTTTGAATGTGATATATGCAAATCAAAATTTAAACTTAAAGGTACTTTGAAGATTCACAAGCTAACACATTCGGATTTTTATCCATTTAAATGTGACATTTGCAATGCAAAATTTAGGCAAAAAGGTAATATGAAAAGCCACATATTAACACACTCGGATATTTATCCTTTTGGATGTGACATTTGCAAAGCAAAATTTAAAGGAAAATACAGTTTAAAGAAACATAAGCTAAAACATTTTGAAATTTATCCCTTTGAATGTGACACATGCAAATCAAAATTTAAACGCAAAATCGGTTTGAAAATTCACAAGCTGAAACATTCGGATATTTATCCATTTGAATGTGACATTTGCAATGCAAAATTTAAACATAAATGTAATTTGAAGAGGCATATTTCGACACATCAGGATATTTATTCTTCTGAATGTGACACATGCAAATCAAAATTTAAACGGAAAAGGGATCTGAAGATTCACAAACTAACACATTCGGTTATTTATTTATTTGCATGTGATATTTGCAATGCAAAATTTAAAGAAAAATTTGATTTGAAAAGGCACATTTCAACACATTCGAATATTTATCTTTTTGAATGTGACACATGCAAATCAAAATTTAAACGGAAAGATCATTTGGAGAATCACATATTAACACACTCGGATGAGAGGAATTTCAAATGTAATATATGCAGCGTCAAATTTAAAACAAGAAATCATTTGAAACACCATTCAGTGACGCATTCAGCTAAATAAGTGTAAGTTTAAATGTAATGCTTATTTTGTTAAATTTAGCATCCCAAACAAATCGATAAATTAAAGTTTATCATTTGTAGGTTTTAAGTTCTGTAATTTGGTGTTTATATAAATAAATACATATGACATAAAGAATTATGCATTGTTTTTTCCACAGGATGGTTTATGAAAATTCTAATTTATCATCCACGTAAGCTTCAACTTCATGTATTGGTAATTCAAAAAAGTCGAAGATCATGTAGTTATTTACATCCCATTAAAAATTGAGGAAATTACCGTAACACACGGAAAAGTTGAACCAACTTCAATTTAAGGAAATCCGTACGTTAATTTCAATCATAATTATTATTGACAGACAAATTGAATTAGTCTATTATTAGATCCTATGATTGAACGTTTACGTTATCCATAACGTACATATCTGGCCGAGTTTTAACAGCAATGATACAAGTTCGAATGATGAAAAATTTTCTGGCATGATTGACAAAATCCATAACAGAAGATGTTAAGCTTACGGTTAAAAATGGACGAATTTAATTATACCTAGCTTCACTTCGGTTCAAAAAGTGACGTTTTTCTTTAAACAACAACAAACAATTAGATTACCGATATTTTTTTTGCAGTTCATTTAACATTTAATTCAATTTATTAGGGCGAAAAGATTACCTATCTAAAATAATTCTGAAACAGTATGGGAAGCTAGCATTGACAAATCAAATAAATGCCCTGGGTGTTAGACCTCGTACCCCAAAAAACATTTCTTTAATGAGGACTTGAATACCATTTGTACACAAAAATAAAGCATGACCAGAACTAAAATAAAATGAATAACTAGAAAAACAGATTCAAATATACTAATAATTCAGGTTAAATAAAATTCAGAGACCTTCAGTAGATTTTCATAGATAAATTCCTTGGTCATCGAGGAATATTAAAATGGGGCCTCATTCTTGCAATAATTATGAACTGCACTGATTCTTTTGGAAGTAAGAAAGCCTCATTAGGAGTTTCAAAGAGATTACTACTTGATCTCTGATAGGCCTAGAATTGTAACCTAACCTTATACAAGATGACAAGTGCGACGTTGCCGAGTGAAGACATAATTTTCCAATAAGGAGAAGAAATCCTTATCATGGGAAATTTGAATGCTCACCATCCAAGTTGGAGTAGTCACAAAAACAACAACAATGATAATCAATTGATAGAGTTCTAACGGGAAAACAACTTGGTGGTACTAAATGATGGATCATCAAAAGAATCCGAGAATTGCTACCCGAAAAAAGCTCTCTTAATTATATACAGAATGAATTAGTGATAGAACTGCAGCCATATTTTAAATTCTCTTATGTATTAAAACGAGATTCTTTCTACTTTTAATGAGTAATAAAACTGATTCTACCACAATTTTTCCATATTGTATTATTTTCTCAAATTTCGAATTTTAATCCCACCTACCTAGTGTAATTCCAAAATGTAAATGAATCTGAAAAACGTTTTTTTTTTTTTAGGTTTAGGATAAATGAATATTTAGAAGATGACATTAAAAACGAAATGGAAGTATCAGATATTGAATTAATGGATCTAAATAAAGGAATATTTGTAAAGGAAGAAGAACATTTGAGTGACATCAATTTATCAAAACAAGATGGAAAAAGCGATTTGAAGGCCCACATAATATTAACACACTCGGATGAAAAGAATTTTGAATGCAACATATGCAATGTAAAATTTAAACGGAAAGTCTCTTTGAAGGCTCACATATTAACACACTCGAATAGGAGGAATTTCGAATGCAACATATGCAACGCTAAATTTGAAAGAAACGGTGGTTTGAAAAGACACAAACTAACACACCCGGATGAAAATAATTTTAAATGTAAGATATGCAAATCAAAATTTAAACGGAAAGGCGATTTAAATATTCACAAACTGACACATTCGAATATTTATCCATATGAATGTGACATTTGCAATGCAAAATTTAAACAAAAAATTCATTTGAAAATGCACATATTAATACACTCGGATGAGAAGAATTTTAAATGCAATATTTGCGATGCAAAATTTAAAGGAAAATGTGAATTGAAAAGTCACATTTTAACACACTCGGATTTTTATCCTTTTGAATGCGACATTTGCAAATCAAAATTTAAACGGAAACGCAATTTGAAGAGTCACAAACTTACACATTCGGATATTTATCTTTTTGAATGTGACACTTGCAAATCAAAATTTAAACGGAAAAACAATTTAAAGGAACACAAATTAACACATTCGGATATTTATCCTTTCGAATGTGAAACTTGCAAAACAAAATTTAAACTTGAAACCGTTTTGAAGAGGCACCAAATAATACATTCGGATATTTATCCTTTTGAATGTGACACTTGCAAAATAAAATTTAAACGAAAAGACCATTTGAAGCGTCACCAACTAATCCACTCGAGTAAACTTCTTTTTGAATGTGCCACTTGTAGAGCAAAATTTAAACGAAAAAGTTATTTGAAGAAACACATATCAAGACATATTCGGATGAGAAAAATTTTAAATGCAATTCAGCGAAATAAGTGAAATTAAAACAATTTTCAATGTTTATTTAGCATCCACAATGGGTTGATTAACAAGTGTTGTAATGTAACATAAATATATATCATATATCTGGCATCTCATTTAAAATAAGAAAGTTAAGGTTACTCCCGGTCAAACTGGAAGTAATAATAAATAATTGAATAAGTCTAAGAGCCAGTAAACAGCTGATGACACATATTTTAAAAAAGTCTCAAATTTACTCAGATATTCAGTTATACCTACCGTTCATGAGATGGGGGATAGTTAAACTCAGTCGCAGTTAGTGTCAATCAGGGATGACAGGTGTTATAATTTGGCAAACTAATATTTATCATTTTGAATGTGACACTTGCAAATCAAAATTTAAACGGAAAGGCGATTTAAATATTCAAAAACTAATACATTCGGATATTTATCCATTTCAATGTGACATTTGCAAAGCAAAATTTAAAGGCAAAAAAAATTTGAAGAAACACAAGCTAACACATTCGAATATTTATCCTTTTGAATGTGATACTTGTAAATCAAAATTTAAACGGAAAAGCGAATTAAATATTCACAAACTAATACATTCGGATATTTATCCATTTGAATGTGACATTTGCAATGCAAAATTTAAACAAAAAAGTCATTTGCCAAGGCAACTTTCAACACATTCGGATATTTATCCTTTTGAACGTGACACGTGCAAATCAAAATTTAAACAGAAAGGCAATTTGAAGATTCATAAACTAAACACATTCAGATATTTATCCATTCAAATGTGACACTTGCAATGCAAAATTTAAACAAAAAGGTAATTTGAAAAGCCACATATTAACACATTCTGATATTTATCCTTTTGAATGTGACACATGCAAGTCAAAATTTAAACAGAAAGGCAATTTGAAGGCTCACATATTAACACACTCGAATAAGAGGAATTTTAAATGCAACATGCAACGCCAAATTTAAAACAAGAAATAATTTAAAGAACCATTTAGTGACGCATTCAGCTAGATAAGTGTAAGTTTGAATGTAATGCTTGCCTTGTTAAATTTAGCATCCCAAACAAATCGATAAATTAGGGTTCCAATGTACCTTTTGTAAATATAAAATGTTGGTATAGTTGGGTGTTTTTTTCATTTATTTTTGGTTGAGAAGTTTATTATTTGTAACTTTAAAGTTCTGTAGTTTGATGTTCAAATAAATAAATAAATATAATACAATACAATGCAAAAAGTTTATCCATTTTATTCCACAATAGTTTTTTTAATATAAATTATGTACTCTTCACTTATTTAGTACTCTCCAGAACATGCACAAACAAACTTTAAAACCTACAAAAGAAAACTCACGTGTGGGTATGGATCTGTCAATGCACCCTTAAAAATGTTCACGTTTTAGCGTTGATTGAAGGAAGTGTAGAAGATACACAACCTTATGGGATAAATCGTGTTAAAAATAATGTACAGCGTGCAGCAAATCTCTCGTGTTCGTCCCAGTCCAGAATATACATGGCATCGACATTCGTCGATATTGGTATATTACCAACAGTCATCGGTTGCGTGGCTGACCGAATCAAGACGACGCTATTTTGTATGACACTGTTACCGACGGTCGGAAATGCAACCGACAACAATCAGCTGACGAGTGACGTCACTTAAACGTCACTTGATTCGGTAGGTTCAGCCTATTAAGGAGGGGAGATTTGACTGATCCGAATTTGTAAACAGATAAACACAGTTTTTCAATCTATTATTTTATTATTTAACACTAATTCCTTAAAGAAACATTTTCAAAGCTACTGGGGGGGGGGGGGGGGGGGGTGTTCAAAATTACATTTTAAACACAGGTTTTTTCCTACTACCCTGAAAATTACAAAAATTGCACTCGTTGATTGATTATCTTTCCATTTCTGTGAGAATTCTTATGTAGCTCATCTATGTATCCCTGAAACGTCAGCAAAAATAATTAGTACTGAATAATTAGAAACAGAAAAATTAGGAAACATTTGTTAACAAAAATGTCAATATTTCAAGTCAATAGGTATATGACATTTTTGATGTTTTCTATGTTATGCAGGAAAAAAAAAACGATAATATAATAATCAGGATTAATTATTTGTATTTTTAAAAATATATATTTTTTTTTTATCAAATAAAAATTCTGTTCAAAAATTTTCTTTCAGTATGTGGGTGGAAAATACTTTCAGCACGTGTGTTAAAAATTGAAAAAAATAGAACAAGAAGAATTTGCTGTAAATGCTCTCTGGTCGTAGGAAAAATGTTGTATAACACTCGTGTATCTTTCATAAACTTGTGTGAAATTGTCACTTGCTACACTGGTAATGTAATATACAGGGTGTCCCACTAAGGTCGGTAAGGTACGATATTATGGAAATCATAGACATTAGGTCTTCGGGATTTTTTTTACTTTACTTAATCGGCCAAGAGAAATTGATGAAAATCATTTTCAAGTTTCTAAGATAACCGCTAGGAGGCGTAACTACGATGATATAACTAAAAATTCAAATTTTCTCAAGAAATCGCTATATTAGGATACTGGTTTAACAACAGAAATCGAAAGTTCATTAATTTTTAGGGAAATAAAGAAAATAATAGGAATTATTTTAATATTCATTCACTAAATTAAAATCTTAAACTGTCTTGTCCTTAGACTAATTACGCTTTCTGTGAAATAATTTTATTTCACTGTTTTCTACCTTTCATAAAATCGACAGCAAATAGTACCTACATCCAAGTACCATCCTCGATTTCTCTATCAAGTCTAAATTATCTTCCAAGGAGTGTCCTTTTAGGACACTAGAGGCACCACTTTACAGTCGTCGTCACCTTGGGTGCGAAGAAAGCGGCGTAAGGGGAATAAAATTCTTCAGTGGCCACAGATAAATGCATAGAGTTTGCGCATCTTCTACACAAAAGCTATTTTATGTTATATTATTTTAACTGACCGAACTGGCTTTACAGATTTTTAAATTTAGTATATTACCCAGAAGATTAGTACTCTATTTTAGGTCCCCTAACCTGATAAGATGACAAGTGCGACTTTGCCGAGTGAAGACATGATTTCCCAAATAAAAGAAGAAATCCTTATCATGGGAAATTTTAATGCCCATCATTCAGATTGGGGTAATCACAAAACCAACAGCAATGGTAATCAATTGGTAGAATTTTTATGAAAAAACAACTTGATGGTACAAAACGATGAATCATCAAAAGAATTCGAGAATAGCTACCCGAAAAGAAATCCTCTTAATTTTATACACTTAGAGTTACAGCTATATTTAAAAAAAAATTACATTCTCTTATGCATTAAAACGAAATTCTTTCTACTTTTGTATGAACAATAAAACTAATTCTACCACAACTTTTTATGTTGTATTTATTTCTCGAATTTCGAATTTTAATCCTACCTACCTAGTGTAATTCCGAAATCTAACTATGAATCTAAAAAACGTTTTTTTTTTTCAGGTTTGTGATAAATGAATATCTAGAGGATGGCATTAAAAACGAAATGGAAATATCAGATTTTGAATTGATGGATCCGAATAAAGGAATATTTGTAAAGGAAGAAGAACATTCGAGTGACATCAATTTATCAAGACAAGAGCTTATTAGGATGTTTCAATGTTACACTTGCAATACTATGTTTAGAACCAAATAAAATTTGAAACATCATTTAATAACACATATGGATACTCGTCCTTTTGAATATAACACTTGCGAAGCGGAATTTACCCAAAAAAATGAGTTACATCTTGACATATCAACACTTTCGGATATTTTTCCTTTTAAATGTGACACTTGTGAGAGAAAATTTAAAAAAAAAAGCGATTTAAAAATACACATATTAATACACTTGGATGAAAAGAATTTTAAATGCAAAATATGCAATGCAAAATTTAAACAAAAAGATAATTTGCAAAGGCACATTTCAACACACTCGGATATTTATCATTTCGAATGTAACATCTGCAACGCAAAATTTAAGAATAGATACTATTTGAAGAAACACCAACTAACACATTCTGATATTTATCCTTTCGAATGTGACACTTGCACATTAAAATTTAAACAAAAAAGTACTTTGAAACGGCACATACTCACACACTCAAATATTTATCCTTTTGAATGTGACACATGCAAATCAAAATTTAAATGGAAAAGCCATTTGAAGGAACACAAATTAACACATTCTGATATTTATCCTTTTGAATGTGACATTTGTAAAGCAAAATTTAAAGTAAAAGGCTATTTGAAGAGTCACAAATTAACACATTCGGATATTTTTCCTTTTGAATGTGAAACATGCAAATCAAAATTTAAACTTAAAAGCAATTTGAAGATTCACACACTAACACATTCGGATATTTATCCTTTCGAATGTGACACATGCAAATCAAAATTTAAACTTAAGGGCAATTTGAAGATTCATAAACTAACACATTCGGATATTTATCCATTTGAATGTGACATTTGCAATGAAAAATTTAAACAAAAAGGTAGTTTAAAAAGCCACACATTAACACATTCGGATATATATCCATTTGAATGTGATATTTGCAAATTAAAATTTAAACGAAAAGGCGAATTGAAGAAACACAAACTGACACATTCTGATATTTATCCATTTGAATGTGACATTTGCATTGCAAAATTTAAACAAAAAGGTAAATTAAAAATCCACACATTAACACATTCGGATATATATCCATTTGAATGTGATATTTGCAAATTAAAATTTAAACAGAAATGCATTTTGAAGATTCACAAACTAACACATTCTGATATTTATCCTTTCGAATGTGAC